CCACCTCCACCAGCCCCCCCAGCAGCATCATCTGGGGGTCCCCGCTCTCCCGTGTTGTTCCGGGACCCCAAAGCCTGGACCAGGCGGTCTCTCTGCTTTGGGGTCTCAGGAGATGGGGACAAACATGTCCCTGAGGCCACGGCAGAGGGGATGGAGACCGGGGACCTCATGTGCTGTCACCCCTCTGGGTACCAGCCTGGAAAGGGTGAAAGCTCTGGAGAACAGGGGAAAAATCCCGATCCCGGGAGCAGTGGCGGATCCAAGCTGGCTCCTTCCCACCCTGCGTTTCCCGTAGCAGCCCCTGCCCAGCCCCTGCCCCTCACCGCGCCTCGGGGCTGCTCCTCCATCCCACCCCATCGACACTCCAGCGGTTACGCTTCCTCCCCCCCTCCCGAGACGTCTCCCCCAGCACCCGCTGCGCTGCCGGTGCTGTCAAATCCCTCCAAGACCATTAAATCTCTCGGGCAAAATTCTGGAAGCGTTTGGGCAGTGGCTGGGCAGTCAGAATTAATTAATCGGTGGCTGCATCTGGTCCCAGCTGGGTGCCTGCGCCCCTCCCTCTGGCTTGGCAACAGCCCTGGCTGCATCTGGTCCCAGCTGGGTGCCTGCGCCCCTCCCTCTGCCCCCCCTGCTTGGGTACCCCTCTCCTTGGATATCCCCATCCTCAGGTACCCCCATCCTCAGGTACCCCTCTCCTCGGCTATCCCCCTTCTTGGGTACCCCCCTCCTCGGGTACCCCCATCCTTGGGTACCCCATTCCTTAGATATCTCCATCCTTGGATACCCCTGTCCTCGGATACCCCCTTCCCCACGATAAAATCACCTAAAAAGCCGGATTTCCCTGACCACCTCCTTATCCAGGACTTTAAGTACAGCGATATCACCCACCCCCCCGCCCCATCCGCAGCCCCTCGGCGGGCGCTGCCTCAGTTTCCCCTGGGACACCCCACTCCCTTACCGTAGGCGGTGCCGGCCTGGGGGTCGGCGAGGAGCAAGGAGCTGCGGGCACAGTGCTCGGAGGGCTCCACGTCCACGTCCACAAAGA